TGACCGGAACAACCAGTTGCTATGACATGCACTGTGGGGGCGGGGCCAGCCAGCCAACCTCCTGTGACCCTAACCCCCCTGCTGGCCCCAGACCCAATCAGCTCCCCTACCCCGATCGGGGGTGGGGCTGGCCGGCCAACCTCCCACCACCTCCTCCCCCTGGCCAGCCCAGCCACCACCCGTGCACAAATTTGTGCACCAGGGCTCTAGTTATTTATAATAGCCAAAACGTAGAAACAACCCAAATGTCTATAAACTGATAAATGGATAAACAAATTGTGATATCCATACAATGGAGTATTATTCACACATAGAAAAGCATAGAGTGCTGATAAATTCTATGACATGGATGAACCTTGAACACATTATGCTAAGGGAAAGAAGCCAGACAAAAAAGACACATAATGTATGACTCCATACATATGAAGTGTCCCGAATAGGCAAATTTCTTTTATAGATTAGTGATTGCCTGGGACTGGATTTGGGGTTGTTAGAGTGGAGAGTGACTGACAAGGGGTATGAGGCTTCCATTTGGAGTGATGAAAATGTTTTAAAATTGTGATGATGGTTACACGACCTCTACTTAAAACCATTGAATTATATACTTTAAATTGTATGCAAATTATATCTCAGTTACAGCTGTTATTTAAAAAATACAAATTACCAAGAAGCACATGAAAAAATTCCTAATTCATTGATCTTCAACTAAATAGAAAATTAGAATTACTGTGAAATACCATATCTCACCAAAATTTGGGAAATTGTGTGTGTGTGTGTGTGTGTGTGTGTGTGTGTGTGTATTACATGAAATCTGTTTGTAAACTTGCAAAGCACTATTCAAAGGCAATCAATGTCTATCATGTCTATTTTGGTTTGCTTCCCAAGATCAGAATATCTTTGTGAATTCAAAGCACAGAGAATTTAAGTTACAGACCTCCTAATTCATATACTTACCGAAAGAAATAAAAAATCTTTGCAGTTTTACTCAAATGTACAAATTAAGAAAACAAATCTGGGTTCAATGAAAAGCAATCAATTCTCTTCTTCCAACCCCTACTAGAGGGCATTAGAGGCTTTTCTCCTCGGGTGGCAGATAAAGTGACAGCAGCCACTCCCCAGGGACAGGAGGAGTCTGGTGTGTTCCAAATGTGTTGTGACATCTGTGAGTGCTATAGTGGCCCCCTGGAGAAAACACAGCTATCTTGTGCACTGGCCTATAGCTTGTATAAATTAGTTTCAATTTAAACATTCTTTCACTGCAGTAGGAAATGGAGAACTTTTCCATATCAAATTCAAGAGCATCTATACTCTGTAGAAGAGTGAACAATATGTTGCAAAATGAGCTGCATCCATATAGACAAATTAAGCTCTGAACCAACCCCGCTCACCATGACCAGAGAAATTTGAGGCTTCAGAGCAAGCATGTCAAACTCACGGCCGGCGGGCCGCATGCCTCATTTGTTGCTTGCTTCAGAGTAAGTCGCACCTTGAGTCAAACAACTATCTTACTTAGAAGAACCTTTCAAGTATGTTTATCTATAAATAAGGTTTGTCTTTCAGAATATAGGAACTACTGCTAGGAACAGACCAATGGTAACTGAATACAAGGGGATCCTTCCTGATCTAATTTGCTTTAAATGCCTAAAGTGTTTACTCTTGACTCTTCGATCTTCACAAATATAAATACCCAGACAACTTTTACTATTATAAACCATTTTCTGGAAATAATTTGGCATGTGCTATTATCTATAATAATAAAAGCATAATATGCTAATTAGACCGGACGTCCTTCCGGACAAAGCCAGGGCTGCGAGGGGAGCCCTTCCCAGGTGCCAGAGGGAAGCTGGTGTTGGCAGCCGGGGAAAGGAAGGCCTACTCTTGCACGAATTTCATGCATCGGGCCTCTAGTATCTTAATAATAGTCTTTACATTTGTCAATACACTTAGAACGCTCCCAAACCCAGTGCCAAAGGGACTATTAAAATATCCGGGTTATAGTTGAGGAAACCGAGGCACTGAGCTATTAGGTAGCCTTAATATTGAGGCCAGGAAGGATTTCATCGTGGTTGAAGTTTGTTGCTTGTGGTGCTCTTCCTGCATGTCCCCACATCCGTGGCCCCATGATATAAGGTTTGGTCTAAGTTAAGACGCTAATGTTAAATAAATATACCATACCAGATTCCTTCTTTTGAAACAATGAACATAACTTCTTTTCAAAAAAGCAGTAGATAAGAGAAAACCTGACAGTTCTTTCATCTCAACTCTTCTTGCTAGCCTTCCCAAGTGCCAACCCTATTTGTTTCAAAAACATTTTAAAGCAATTCATAACTTAGAGCAGCGATTCTTAAGCACTCCTGTGGCATACTGGTGTGCCGTAAGAATTTTTAAAAATGCAATACTTGACTATTTAGTCAGGGGCACTGAACTTTTAGATTGTCAATTAAAAAAAGTAACAACAGCTGCCCTGTGTGAATGAATCAGATTTATACCTATTGGCTAAAAATATACTTTTTGGTGTGCCACAGAATTTTAGTGATTAGTTTATGTGTGCCATGAGATGAAAAAAGTTGACAATCGCTGACTTAGAGTAACTATGCAAGCCCTGGAATTCCATCGTTGACTGTGTCTTATGCCCAGTCATTTTCAAATTAGTTAAGCTTTGTCAGTTCACAGGAGTGCAAATGTAAAATAAATAACACTTATAAATAAACATTGGTAATTTCAAACCATAGCATAAGCCTGAACATTTCTTCTCCCAGATGGATAATTATTTGTATACATCTGGAAGTGGAATCCGCTAAGTAAAGATAGCTATGAAAATTGCTAAAATTGAGACAGTGTGCACACCTTTTTCAGCAGAGCAAAATGGAGTCCTTATCAAAATGGAATTTAAATTAAATTGGAAATGGAAATTTTCTTTTAAAATGGAAAATGTTAGTTTCCTTTAACAAGTAAAATCTAGATTTATTTAACTGGCTATTTCACACATTCTCAATTAGAGTATTGATTATTATCTGATGAAATATGGAAAATACATATTATCATATCCCAACACTCCTTATCAACGTAGGCATATCCCAAAACTCTTTCTCAACTAAGAGGCTTGCATAGTTATTCCAGTTCTTAAATGATGACTTACATTAATGTTTCTCAGAGAAACGAAATAGCATTCTCCATATTATTTTGTATGTAACTAACTGCCTTATCATACCAATTTTCCAAGTTTCAGAACCTATCAATAACCACTTAAAATGTTTGCTACTATTATGAATCGTAATGTAAATATCTGATATGCAGGATGTATTTTCAGGGGTCGCGACCCACAGGTTGAGAACCGCTGTGTTACATCATTAGAGTTTTCTGGGTTCTTGGCATGTTATTAATAATGAAACTATGAGAAATTTCCATCTGGTATTTCTAACACTTTAGGGCATTCTAAAAATAGATCTGAGAAGTCTCACAAGTGCCCCCTGATCACATGACAGGACTAAGCTCCATGGAAAGATGTCAGTGGAATAGTTTTTCATCTTAAAGGTTTCTTAAAATAGGCTCATTTTCCTATAGGAAGATTTAAAAAATCACAATGATTCATGATAATCAAGAATTTTTTGATGATTGTTGTTGGAGGGAATACTTTTTTTATAGCTTTGTTGAGGTAAAATTTATATATATGTAATGTATATATATGTATAAGCACATACTTATAGTGAACTTGATACATTTTGACATATGTATATATACCTGTGAGGCTATCACCACAATCAAGATAATAAACATGTCCATCATAATTTTGAAGATATAAGTAATGTGAAATTTGGTGATCATTAGATTCTCCGGGACATCTGGCACTAGTAGGCCATATTTATTGTCTATGAGTGAATACATGTTCTCTAATTTATTGACACAATGTTTTTTGAACATTAATGGACTAGCAAAGACTGAGCAAAATTTAGGCTTTTAAGTTTCAGCCTTTTTTGAGGAATATCTGAATGGCGCTGAAGTTGAATACAAGAATCGACAGGTATGAAATCTTCAATATGCCTCGGGTGGCTTAGCAGCCCTCCAGCCTCTCAGAACGTCAGCTTACGCCCCACCAGTTCTAAGGAGGAGCAGAGCCTATTCATCCACCCTCTGCGTGGGGTTGAACCTTATTTTTTTTCCAATTACATTATTTTATAGACAACTTAGGAAGAAAAAAAAAAAGCACGTCTTGTTTGAAAAGATGGATCTACATATGGGAATAACACTATATAAGGCAAGTCACTTCTGAGTTTCCGTTTTTCTGTCAAAAAATTTCCACCTTGGCAGAGAGAGCTGTAAAGGGGAAAAAAGAAGCAAGCCTCCTGGAATGTCCAACTTCACAAATAAAACAGCAAAATAAATATACGCACAGGCAGCTTCTAATTTGTGTGGCTTTGGCTCAGTGTTTCTGAAAGGAAACAGTTGCTTTTTGTCCCACCTACGGCATCCCATTTGCCCTCAGGGCTGGTAGGAACGAGGTCTGGTAAGCTTGCTTCCCCGGAGGCTTTCCAGTCCTCCACGACAATTTAAGGACACAGCATTTAATCTCCATCCACCACCAACACCTGCACCTCCCCGCGCAGACCTGTCTCCTCCACAGCTGACAGTGGTCGCCCTCACAACTGTGGTCCTGAGGGTTCCAGCTTCCTTTCTTTGCCTCAACCCCCAGGACACCCATCCGGGCTGAAGTTTGTGACTTGGAGGGCGTCTAGCCTCATCAGCCCCGCTCCAGCCGGGGGTTGTTGCTACCTGCGCGTCCTCTCCTCTGATTCCTCCCCAAATGACGTTAAGATTCCAGTAGATTTGGCACGTCCGTAAGCGGGGCCTGCAGTTAGCAGGCCCGGGGCTGCCGTGTGCCAAGGAAGACGCGGCCAAAGCAAGCCATTTCCACCTGCGTAACCACAGGCTGGGGAGTAGCGAGGCGGCTGCCCGGAGTCGGAGGAGGAGCGCAGGCGGCGGGCTGGGAGGAGGGGGCGGGGAGGAGGAGGAGCTGAAGCGGGGAGCGCGGCCGGCAGCAGCTCGGCCGGAGCGGCGGCGGCGGCGGCGCGGACACCGCAGCCTCCCAAGCCCCGAGTCCCGGCGCGGGCAGCAGCAGGGAGCGCCTGCCGGTCCGGCCACCGCACCTCCATCCCCCAGCCGCCGTCGCTGCGCCCGGGACCGCCAGCCATGGCCGCGCCGCCGGATCCCCAAGAAGAGCTGCTGCCGCTGGCCGGCCGCGGGTCCCAGTGGTTTGGGGACCGGGAGGAAGGGGAGGACGAAGCGGTGACGCCGAAAGGGGCGAGGCCGGCGCCGCAGGCGGGGGAGTCCAGCCGGGGGCTGGGCGCCGGGGCCGGGGAAGCGGCGCCCGGAGAACTGGGCTCGAACCCCGCCCGGTCTCCCGTTGCCATGGAAACTGCATCCACAGGTAAGGCGGGCGGGCGCCGCATCCCCGCAAATGGCGTGGGGACCGGACCCCCAGCCTGCCCCCTCCCCGCAGCGCCTCTGCACCTTCCTCGCGCTCCCCACCTTGAGCACCAGTCTCCCTCACCCACCCACCCACCCACCCCGCTGCGTCTCAGGGGGCTGTTAATGTTAGCGGATCCGTCGAAAACCTGAATTTCATTTTTCCAAAGACTTGGAAGACAACAAAATACTATTGATTCTCTTATTTAATGATCATCATTATTCTGGCTGTTAAAATGGCCCTCAGAGGCAAACCGCAGCACCTGGTGCTGGAGTGCCTGTGTACAAGTTTCCTCCTTCGGCCAAGGGGTTGGGGCTCTTAGGGGGCCTCTTGGCCCGTGGCCCTGATTTTGGGGGCGTGTTTGCAGCGTGCGCGCCAGCGACTGGGACGATGACAACAAAGCGGCAGGCAGACCCGCTGCCCCTCCCCCGGCTCTGTCCCGGGCAGGGAGGTGACTTTAACCGGCCCTTACCCGTTCCCTCCACCAATTGCCACACCCTACTCCCTCCCGGTCGCCCCTCCCATCCTTCATTTCTCCCTCTCTCTGCGCAGGAAACAGAAATCCCAGGGTGTGTATGTCTAATTCAGGAGGAACAGCGTTGCCAGAGGGCTGGGGGTTGCCTTTCGGTCCAGCTGCCCGGATCAGGGAACCCTGACTCTTGCAGGGAGCACTGAAACTTGCAACCCCTTCAAGTGGCCGGCCTGGCTGTGGTGTGACCCCACTTGGGTGGTGAGTGGGCGAGGTTCAGCTTACCAGCAGTCTGGACTCTCCCGGGCTTTTGAAAATCGCCCTGGGTTCAGCCTTCCATGGCTTGACTCCCCCGCTTCCGAACCAGAGCGCCTGGGTGCCCAGAGGGGACCAGGGGGCCTGGGACATCCTGGCCCAGGGCTGCGGGAGACACATTTGGGGAGGATCGCCGGGCCTGGGAGCGCTGTTTTCCTAGGGCCTGGGGAAGAGGGTGCTGTGTTGTGTGCTCTGAGAAAGCTTTGTGGTGGTGGAATGGGAGTGTGTAGTTTTGGAAATGTAGCTTTCCCAGGCTTGGGGTGGTGGGAGCTCCCAGCCGAGGGGAAAGGTGGGGGGAATCGCCTTCACACTCTTGGCAGCTGATTTAGGGGAACCCCTTTCTTAAGCGACCGCCTCTTACTGGTCGCCTGGCGTGGCCTTAGGCAGCTTTAATTCTGCTCCAGTACAAGATCTGAGCTGAGAGAAGGAGGCTTGGGGAATGCATTGAATAAAATGGCAACATTCTGAAGGGAAGAGAAAAAGCGACCATCTTAGAAGCCAACAAAAGAAAAGAAGACTTAAATCTGAAAAACCCACTTGTCCTATGTTAATTATTATATGAGAGGTTGGGGGTGGGGGTGGGGGTGGGGGGTCAGGGGAGAGGATAAGACTAAGATGGCTGCCTAGCCTGTCTTTCAACTTCTCCTAAGTAAAGTGAAAACAAAACTCTTTATCATTGCAAAATAAGATGGCAAAAGATAATTGGCAAATAAAGGTACCATTTTGTTGGGTTACCATTACCATTCTCTGATGAGAGTAGCTCATGGTTCAGAACCTTTATCCACCATCATCAAAGTAAATTATTTCTTTATAGACATGGCCTACCTCCCATTAGTGTCTCCAGGGCTGGGTGAATTAGGGAAAGGAAGCCCCGTGCCCAGTGTTCAGTAACATACTATTCACTAAAATGAGTTGCTGTTTATACAATGTTTAGAACATCTCCCGCTGTCTCAAAGCAGGCATTTGCAGTTTTCAACATCATCATCATCATCATTATTATTGTAGAAATATTAGACTTTGTTAGCTGTCATAGGGGTTTCCTATCCTAGTCAACAAATACACTAACAAAATCAAACATGATGTTAAGTCTGGATGGGAGGAAAATGACGGGAGAGAACAGGAGCACTTATTTTATAGAGATAAAATCTTATAGCACATATTTATATAGAATTTTTTAGTTTGTTATTTCTGAAGGAATTTCTCATAGAACTGTCTATTGTTTAATGTTTTAAACATGTACGTTTCTTATTTGGTAGACTGCATGGACTGTTATAAGAGACCCAGGTGCCAAAAATGATGCCTAAGTAAATAACTAGTTCTTGAAAAATACAAATAGAATCTGGGCCAGCTTTCTTGTCTGTTATTTTGGCAGTTCTGTTGCTATAAGCGAAGTCAGCAGGTGTATCTTTAACTTTATCAGACATAAAATCCAGTGGAAGCCTATGAAACACACTGTTTACCTTTTTAAGAGAATGGTGCTCTTTGGGACTCAAATCAAACTAAGAAGTAAATTAGATTTTGTCCTGGTGCACTGTAAACAGATTTTGTTTCTTTTTCAGGTGGAATTATACAATGTAAGGCAGGTATTGATGTTTTTAAAACTTTTTTTTTTTTTCCTGAAAAACGCCACCAATCATGTCATCTGGACAGAGATTCTATCATTTATTTTTAAACATTAATGGTTATTAAAGTTCTTGAAGAAACATTTCCAAAAATATTTTTCAGTAGTGTCCTAAAATGAATATGTGTTTAAACATCATTAAAGCCACACTATGACACTTCCATCAGTACTCCCATTTTTAGGGAGTCTTATTGCTCCTGTCCCTTTTGTGGTACAACATTCTTAATGAAAAGTAACACTTTCTTTAATTTTTCATGTTTAAAATTTATAATGGGCATGCAAAATGATGTCTGTTGCCAAGGGAACTTTTAATACACCACGTGTGGGCTACAGCGTGTTGGAGTTGTTAATCAGGAATCAGTGCCATCATCTAATAACTTTATACAAAGGATGTTAAGAGCAACTGTGGTTTTTTTTTTCATGATCTGTTATTCCTGGAAACTATTCAAGAGGAGCATACAATAACACAAGGATAGAAGAATGGTTCTTTGTTTAAAGGGAGAATTTAAAATAGACCATTTGATCAAAATGCAGTGGTAAGAAGTTAACTCCTTGGCTGATTTGGAAATTAACTCATTGACTGCTTCATGCTTGGAGGGAAAAATAAAGAACAAAGTAGTGAATAGTGTAGAGAAATCAGTCCAGTAAGATTTGTTTCAGTAATATTGAGTTATAGATAATTTGGCCTAAATTTTTAGATGATTGGTAAAAAAGAGATTTTTTTCCTCATTATCTTCTACTTGGACCACAGTGCTCATAAATTTATATTTTTCAAATGCTGACTGTGATACTCTATTAGAAAAACTATTCTTAGTCTATAATCATTTAAATAGCTTTCAGAATGATTATATATCTATGTTTATATCATTTAATATAATACACTGTACAATACACATTACCAATAATCTAAACTTCGTGTGGAGGTTGGATTGACTGTCTTCATTTGTGGATGTGTTTGATAGACCTGTGTACACTTTTATTCAGAGTCATTCCCAGTAATCCTTTTCAGAAGGTATAATCTCAATCTTCTGTCTTCTTTCATCTTTTGAGAAAACATCAGTTCTATTGAAATGGGAAGGAACACTTCATTTGCTTTTAGAATATATTACAGACCATATAAGAAGAATAAAAGAGTTTCTAATGCACTTTATTTCTCTGGATATAGCCTCTGGATATAATAAATAACATTTCTGGCAGTAAGTACACTATATATCCTTTTATATAGGGGACTGAAATTAGGTTAAATTAAAATGTAGAAACAGTCACATATCCTAAAATGCACAGATAAATTTTATCAAGGCTTTCAGCATAATTTCCTCTTCATGAACTTACTGTTCCAGGAAACTTATCCTGCTCATTGCTCCTCCAATGTACTGTAGGCCTTCCTGCCCCCTTCTTTTTTTTCCAGGCTGTCCATGTACGTCTTAGTCTGAGGGCTTGGAGAAGTAGAGGAGTTGTGGGTTATCTTGCTCAATATTCGGTCCCTCCTGGATAGCACAGATTATGGAAAGTTTTTATTATCAAATCAATTTTGTCAGCATTTATTGAATGCCTCCTTTGGGTAAGAATCTGTGCTAAACACAGGTTGTGGTTTCCTAGAACATGTGCATCTTTCTGTTTCATATTAGTATTTGGTTTAAACAGTTGCTTTTGTGTCACTTTTTATTGTCCTCATTCTCAAGTCATTGCTGGAAGCTAGACTAGAAGGGCATTGTAATACTCTAACGAGCACGGATTGCTCAGATAATATAGCTGGGTGTGTGTGTGGGGGGGAGATAAATTCTATATCTCTATCTATCTATCTATCTATCTATCTATCTATCTATCTATCTATCTAATTCTATTATTTTCATAAAAATAGCTGTGGCTGAATATTACTCAAAGATCTCTGGATTAGTTAGTTGTGCTTTTCTTTTAAAGTTAAAATAAATGATTGACTAAGGGAGCTTTGGAAAAGGCACTGTAAAGTAGAGAGGGCAGTGAAAGAACGGGTGTTTGAGACGGGTTAAGAAGGGGATACAGTCATTGAGGGGAGAGGGAGACTGAGATGGAGTGGAGGACAAGATCATTGGAGGAGTGGAGTCCAGAAAAACGTCAAGGCCAGGAGTGAAATAATCGCCTCTATGATTACTGATATGACAAAGAACCATGGCAGAGATTGGAGAGTGACAGTGAACCCGCTGCTGATATCTTTAGGAAAGGACAGGGCTGCCTGGGCTTAAAAGCTAGGGGTTTTTAGAGGGGACGGACAAATAGTTGCCTGTAAAATTGTAAATGTAAAGTCCCAACTATAGGTCCTACAGTCTCTATTTAATATGTACAGAACATGGGAGACACTACTTAAAATAGTTTATTGTGGGGGATGGGAAAGTTGAGGGTTGTCATTAACTAAATATGAGCTAGTGCTATGGTGCAATTACTAAAATAGCTTATGCAATTTTTGGTAGTGTTAATAGAAAGTCTTGGGTGCACATTAGATGAGGTAGTTTTCCTAGATTCTGTTCTAGGCAGGTCAACATCAGAGTCTTGCACTAAATGATGTGAGCCATACTTCGT